GGGGATGACTCCAAGAATGTCAAGCTGTGCCATGCCAGGATCTGGGAACCAAATCTCTACCATTGGCTGACTCAGAGCAGATAGAACTCCCAAAAGAAGCTATGCCAAGACGCCTCGCATAACTATTGATAGCTGCATTGAAGATTGGGCATGGCGTCATCTTTGTCAGATATAGGGCTGACAGTGGAAACCCCATGGTGACACCACTCATCGCCTGCTCAGAAGCACAAAAGCAGTCATTATTCGAACCTAAGTGTTATTCTACAGTTGTGTTCTAAACTGCAAAGTGCTCGAAAGAAACCTACATCTATACCAGCTCAGCAGACTTTCATCTCTCAAGAGCAACGCCTGTCAACCAAAGACAATGACAGGATTCACTGATAATTAACAATCAAGTGTCTTACATGTATGTGTGAATTAGCTGTCATCCAAATTCTTTTCACACATTTCTGCATGAAGGGGGGAAAAAGCACATTCAAAAGAGCAACAGACTCCTATCTTTAGCTGCTGCCCTGATGCTGAACAGTTTCTGCTGATCGAAAAGAAGGCAATTACATTTAAACTTTCAAGCATAAAGATTTTGCCTGACACTAAAAACCTTTATACAGATTCCCAAATTCCTAATGGACCACATGCAAATGTCTCCACTCCCAGCTTCCCCATTTAAGGTAAGTCTCGTAGAATAAAGGTAGGATGGATCCAGGAAAAGCTGTAACACAAGAGGGGCATAAATAAAAACTTGCCCTTGCAGCTTGTCTGAACATTCTCTGGGTCATAAGAATAGGGGGGGGGGACCACCTCTTTTATCAATTATACATTCACAGGACCTCAAACACCATTTTATGCTTCTGTAACCCACCTTTTAAAAAATTGCTTGAACCCTTAGAGCAGTGTTTCTCAACCTTGGCAACTTGAAGATGTCCGGACTTCAACTCCCAGAATTCCCCAGCCAGCGAATGCGAATTCTGGGAGTTAAAGTCCGGACATCTTCAAGTTACCAAGGTTGAGAAACACTGCCTTAGAGACGAAGTGATAAACTCTGCTACATGCATGCTTATCCTGTCAAATCAGCCTTTTGAAAAATCCCCCCTCTCACTCTGTTGAGAGGGAGAGAGAGAGGGAGGGAGGGAGGGAGAGAGGGAGGGGAACAAGTATTTGAGATATTTTGAGTAGATAGTTTCCTCCAGATGAAAAGATACATACCAGGCCCTACTTCTGCCCAATTTGTATGACCTTTTTGCTGTTAATTTTGTTGTCTTTCTACTGATTTTGAGAGGCAACAGCAAAAATAAGGTTAGGAGCAAAAAAATCTGAAATAATTAGTCTAAATCAGACTGTCAAGTGCAAAGATCAATCGGACGCTTCTAAACTATGTTACAAGACAAATATTAATAAAACAAAATAACACACAATGTTATAGTAGCATTCTGATAGTACTGTCCTAAAAGTGGCTATTCCAAAGTTAAAAGAGTTAAGTTGGAACATCCCAGGTTCTGTAGATGGTTGCAAAAAGACAGGTAGGAGCTATCTAACCAATAGTGGTAGAAATACTTGGTGTTATCAAATGAAAAGAAGAGATCCTCCCACCAATCCTTTCTCAAGGCCTCTAGCATGACCATTTTTAAGGATAATAATAATAATTCTTTCAGCCAAAGATGACTGTAGGAAATAAAGGTGCTTGCATGTTGTGCGTGAAAACTGGAGGGAGGAGGCGTTTCTGCTGCGATGTGGCTCATGTGGGCGAATTATTGAGAAGAAGAACTCTTGGTGTGGGTTGCTAGCAGTGGGATGAACATACATTAATCAGCCTTCTAAGTCTTTCATGGTGGCAAGAGATGCTGTTTGAAATGCTAGAAAATTTGCCATCAAAGTTCAGAAAGAAAATACCACTAAAAGGACTTTTTTTTCCCTTTCAAAAGGTGAAGCCTGACCCCAAACTCCACAAAAAGGAGCTAACATAAAAGCATCAGTCTTCAAATGTGTTCCAGCGGCAAATCTTTGCATCGTTAAGATGTTTCAGATCAGATTCTCCTCTGATTCATCTGTAATAGGAATGACTGAGGACAGAGGGGAAAGGGAAGGAAACAAAACAGATAAAAGGTTTGTAACTCCCCCCCCCCATCCTCCCCCCCAGATCTGTACAGGTGCTGGTTGACAAATTAAAGTTCATTTCCATTTTAATTTGGCTCACTTCTCCCGCCTTAGTTAGGAAACTTAAGTTAAATGGAAGATAACAAGCAAAACTTGACAGCAATAGCTTAAGTGACACAGATTTTTCTATAAGTGCTTAGAAAGCAAACGTTTAATATAGGACTGCTATGGGAAGATTCCACTTGATACGGAGAGGTATCATTAGAGGTAGCAATGCCAATAAATATTTCTTGGTTCTACCACAGAGAGGGGAGCAAATTCCAAGCTTTAATAATGAATAATCCTACTAGCCGACTGCTTTCCCAATCTAATACCAATGAGGTTTTATACAAATGAATAATTTCTCCATAAAATGAGCTGAACCTATTTCAGAAGGAATAGTACAGCAATATTTCCCCACAGCCATTTAGCTTTACTACCCTGGCACAAGCTCAGAACCTCTCACCTTTATTAAAAGAGTAATTATCTCCCAAGAGAACTTTCCCAAAATATTGATTTCAGCAAGTACATGTCTCCAAAAGGTCTCTTTAAAGTGACTATGCTTTGGACAGTTGTTTATTTTCCACAATAATTAGTAGCTACATATTTTAACAACCTTTCAGCAGCCTCATATTTTTGTATTAAATATTCCAAGTGGATGACTATTAATGTAAGGGCTTTTGGCCCCGAAACGGACAAGAATCAGTTTTATATGACACTGATATCTTATTGCTAAACTCATGCCCTTTCATTCAGCCTCAAGATGTAAAAAACAGTGTGCATATTTTTCCTCTAAACTTATAAACACAGTACTAAAATCAATTAAAGGACACGGTGGCTCAGTGGCTAAGGCTCTGAGCTTGTCGATTAGAAAGGTTGGCAGTTCAAATTCCTAGCACGCATAATGGAGTGAGCTCCCATTACTTGTCCCAGCTTCTGCCAACCTAGCAGTTTGAAAGCACGAAAAAAGGCAAGTAGAAAAATA